GAAACTATTACTGAAACTTTTTTTACCATCCCTGCAGCACAGGAAATAACATGGTATGATAGCAGAATATTCCACTGAATTAAAAACACAAACCCACTCAGTGAAGAACTTAAAATCTTTTCCCCAGTGTTGCTTTTTGTTTACAGTTGAAATGAATCACTTTCCAAGGTATATCTCACCAAGTCAATTTATGCTACTGGTGGTGGCTGGACCCGACAAACTGGCTGGCAGGGAGTTTGGATAAAAGAGACTCCCGTGCAAAGTCTCTGGATCCCTGCCTCAGGGAGGAAGCAAAGTGTGCTTATGTATTTAATTACATTTAATGGCCTTTACAGAAGGAAATTGCGTGTTCTATGACATCTATTGGCAGGAAAGGTGACTTAATAAAGAAAGGGAATATCTTGCATTAGTGAGAACAGAGTGGTCAAGTAGTAATTCTACAGTCATGACAAAGTTATGCGATGATGTTTACGCAAAACTGGATTTAGATGGGCCTGGAGGAAGCTTAAAAAGAGTGGGAGGCAAGGGGGATGGATTCAGGCCCTGCCTCTGCTTCAAGTCAAATACCTCATAGCATTAGGTTATGTTAATCTACTGTTGTATCTGCTTCTGCATCTCTTTCACTCATCCTGCAAAATTTTACACAGAGAGATCAGAAATGTCTTAAGAAATTTTGCATATGGAAGTAATGAATACAACAGAATTCAACAGAATCACTGGGGTTGGCAGAGACCTCCAAGATCGTTGAATCCAACACATGCCCTAACACCTCAACTAGACAATGGCACTGAGTGCCACATCCAGGCTTTTTTTAAACACTTCCAGGGATGGTGACTCCAGCACCTCCCCAGGCAGAACATTCCAGTACTTTTTTATTCTTCCCATGACAAACTTTTTCCTAATATCCAACCTATATTTCCTTTGGTACAGTTTAAGTCCTCTCTTTCTGTCAGCTGCTGCCTGGAGAAAGAGGCCAACCCCCACCTGACCACAGCCACCTTTCAGAGAGTTGTAGAGAGTGATAAAGTCACCCCTGAGTCTCCTTTTCTCCAGGCTAAACAATCCCAGCTCCCTCAGCTGTTCCTCACAGGGTTTGTGTTCCCAGCCCCTCACCAGCCTTGTTTCCTTCTCTGGATGCACTCAAGCGTCTCAATGTCCTTCCCAAACTGAGGGACCAGAATTGGTTGCTCCTCTCAATGTAATTTTATTAAGAAGGCATAAACCAAAAGAGATCAAAAGAGACTATTTATCACAATAAATTATTTTTCTATATAACACCAGAAAATAAATGTTAAAATACTTAAACAAAAGACAACTGTTTAGAAACTACTCTCTAGCATTTTAAAATCTGTAACATATCATTGGAGAAGATTTTTACTTTTTCGTCTATCTCCAAATTCTATTATTTGCCACTGTACTGAAATGGCGCAAAATTTATACCAGAATGACAAGACAATGGCATTATTGATGACTCTATTTCCTTCCCAAATACCAGAAAATCATCACATCTTAAAAAGAGGAGAAATGTGTGTATATCTGAATAGTAAAGATGTAGTAGTAGAGAGAATAATACAGGGTTTACAGGTAGCAGTGGCAGCGATTTTAAAAATATGAATTAGACACAGAATGCCAGATTCTGAAAAGTCTAAATTGCTCAATTGTAAGAGAGGGCTACTGCCAGTGCCAAAATATCAAGTAGAGTGAAGACCTCTGTCCAAGGATATTTCAAAACCTATTACAGTCAATTTAGACTCTACTGATAAAAGAAACTTCCAATTGTGCCTCATCTCCATAGCAATCTCGCTTGAGTGAGTTCAGGGAATGAAGCTCATAGAACCATCTCATTCACTTTGAGTCAGATTTGGGAAATGCACAGCATTGCTCCACAGCAATCCAAAGGCAGAATGAATATAGCTCCTCATGGACTCAAACATGGCAAGTTGCTCCTGTGCCATTAGATTTTTCCTTTTATTTTTTTTTTCCTTTCATTTTTCTAATTTTCTTTTTCTTTTCTTTTCTTTTCTTTTTCTTTTTCTTTTTTTTAATGCATCTAGAACATAAAACAGGTTTTTATATTCTTAGAAGACCACCCATGAAGTTTCCTCTTTCACTTTTACAAAGATGTTTTTTATTGGGAATAATATGTTTGTCCTTACATGTACCAGCCAGGAAAAGCTTTGATTAATAAGTTCAGTTCTGAAAATGCTTGTGTTCATTTTCACCAGTAAGTTCTAAGACAAGGAAGTGCTTCTACATCTCTTTCCCTGCTGGTGGGTTGCCAAAAATTTATGCACACACAGAGCAGTATGCATAATATAGCTTCTGAGAATGTTTATGTCAACTGGAGACCACAAAACCTGATTAGCAGGAATTCTATATACTTTCTCCAAACACAAACTGAGACTTTGCCCTTCTGTGAGTCTAATTTTGAAAAGCCATGTTTTTAGAAAAACACCTTTTCAGGTGACTTGTGGAGTAAAAATGATATATACAATAACATGCTATTTCTCCATTATTAGAGTACTTGCATTCAAATGCTATCACTCTTCATGTAATTATTATGTCTGGCATAAAGTTTATATTTGCAGAAGACAAAACTATACTTTACATAACTTTCTATCTCCTAAAAAAAAAGACTTGGAGAAAGCTCACAGATCTTAGGTGAAGGAAATTAAAGTGAGCTGGTTTGAAGTCTCCCTCTTGACCAGTATAGTTTTCAGATCAAGATCATGTTCCCAGTCAGCAAAGGGATTCCTGTTAGCTGGGACAAAACTACTTTTCCATTTTCTCCATACTTGTTCTCTGCTTTTTTAAGAAGTCCATGCTACAAACTCAGTCTTCCTTCTCATGCTTCTTCCATCAACCCAGAGAACTTCTCTGAGCTTGTGGCAGAGGTACAGACTCCCTCATTCACTGTCAGGAAACACTGTCTCCTTCCAGGGGCTCCTGTCTCATCTCAAGCTCAGTACTTCAGACAATGTGAGCTCGTGGGATTCTCCCATAGCTATCACTAAGACCTTTCAATCATACATTGTATATAAAATATGATGATCATGGAATGAAAAAATAAAAGTTCAAACAAGGAAGAGATGTTTCATCCAAATTTATTTATTTCAAGTGTGTATGAGCCCACTAATAAAAGAGCTACCAAAACTAACACTTCATATGTGGAGTATTCCACAGTTGAAATTTACCTAGTGAAGTGTATCTGAAATATCTGCTTAATTTAAAATTGCTGTATGTCTGCAAAAACTCATGGCTGAACAATTTATTTCCAAATTGGACTTTCAATTGAGTAAAAGCTAATCACATCCACAAAAAAGTTCCTCTCTGCTCTCTCTCTTCTTTTTGTCTTGTAAGAAATAATAAAGTGAACAGAATTTTCTATTAAATTTTTTGCTGCTTCAACAGGGTGGTCTACTCCTTTCAGTCTAGAGAAGTTGTTAGGGGTGCAGGGAGCTAGAACTGGACTTGGCTGCTCGTATTTGATTATCAGAGCCAGCTGGAAAGAGGTCAAACGGTGTCTATAAAGGACTGAGAAACCTTAGCTGTAAAAAACAGCAGGAGGTAGTTTGGCTCCTGTGATTGGCCCTGAAGTTGTGGGAGCATGCAAGGAAAAAACAGTGAGGATCCTACAAAGTTTTTAATAAAGATTAGTTTCCCTTTCCACACACCTGTATGTGTACATGTGGGTGCGCGGGTTGATCTTCACATCGCCATACCTGAGACATTAAAGATCTTGTGAAGTAAAATGTCTGAAAGAGGTACAAGAATGTTGCCAGTCAGTCCTGGCAAGATGACTGGGAAAGATGAAAATCAGTGGTACTTGTTCCATTTATTACTGGGATGTTTATATATTAGAAAGAAGCTCATGCACCAGCAATCTTAATTGCACAAGGGATTAATAATGTTGGGTGCTTAAACTTTCTATGCCCCTCCTGAGAATCTTAAAAAAGCCTGACCTTTTCTTTTTTTTATGTATTTTCTGTGATGCTAAAAAGTCAGTTTAAAAAAAGAGGAAAAACAAATCTCAACACTAAATAATTCAATTTATTTAACGGGGTTTTTGTGGCTTAGAGATAAACTGCAGACCTTTTCCACAACTGATTTTAAAAAGCAGAGTCTTTTTAACACTGAGTTTTAACCAGAAACTTTTGTATGGAGAATTTTCTTTTGGCCAGATTATAAAAACATAAAAAAACATAAAAAATGCTATTATATCTCAGGAAAATGTTGATAGAGCTGTGACAGAAGCATCACAATAATAATATTTCAATATCACTCAAATCCTGCTATAATTAAGAATATGCTTTATTCAGCTGTTGCATGCTTAAATCAATAGTTTAGTTAACTGCATACAAATTGCAGGAAATAGAGAAACTTTGAATATGAAGTGGTTTAAAACCAGTTTATTTTGGGATGGGTGCTGTACAGGATTAGCAGGATGATTACAGAGTTTGTATAGTGACTAAGAAAACTCCAGCAGACTTGTAATGATGTTTAGTACTCAGGACAGTCTCTGGGATGTTTTTTTTCCCAAATAATGGATTAGAATCAGTTTAAGAAAAGATAAAACATAAGAATTTATAGAGGTATCTTTTATGGCTTCTGTATCAGCTTACTTCTGAAGTGGTCTCTGTTAGCCTCCTCACATCTAGGGTTGTTAGGTTCCATGGTTTTGCATCAAATTTGGGTCATATTTCCACAATCCACTGAAATATCTTTCTTCACTGGGTTTTGTCCAGGGCAGAATAAGGTCTGAAATTTGTCTCTAGCCTGTAAAGAACACCAGTAGGAAAGGAGAGAAAAAAAAAATTTACTTCCAAAGAGTAAATCAGCAGCTATTGTTCCCTTTAACAGATTAAGTAATTTATTTAATTTTGAATCACTGACAGTCAAGGTTGCAGATCAACACTTATTTTTGAGATACTGAAATATTTTTTCCTATTTACTTCCATTGTGTGTATTGGCTTCTGTTTGACAATTGACTTGGGCAAGATCTCAGCACTGATTTCTTCCACTGGATGAGTTTTTTCTACCATCTCTTTAAAACTAGAGGCTAGAATGTCTCTCAGCAAACTTCTTATAATACATTTGCACAAGAAAATTGTCCTGTAATGTCATTTGTTTCTTCCTTATTTTAAAATATTGTAGCATAGTTCCTCCTGTGTCAATCACACTTAGAAAGCCAGAGCATTTCAGTGAAACTGTAAATCATGATCCAAATATAGAAACTTTTTTTGAAAAAGTTTCAAAACCCTAACAAACAAGACCTTGCCTAATTTTACGTGAGAATGTTGCTAGCTGATTTGCCAAGGAATGTTAGGCATTGTGCAAGCACATATTAAAATACAAACTGTATCCTCGAAATCTGTATGATCCCATAGCATCTGCCATCAGAAATATAACGAAATTAACTGACACAGTCCATGTGTTCCAAACAGAAATCTTTAATTTTAAATGTTCAATGAGTCAACCGTAGATCCAACTGGGTTTAATTCCATTTGGACTTGATCTTCATGGATACATTCCATACAGAGAATATTGAAAAGCATTTTTCTCTGCTCATCCATGGCCCTGTCACTCTCAAGCATTTTGACAACCAGGGTGTTTTCTAGGTCCTGGAACAGGAAAACACATCCCAGGGTGTCTGTTCATGTGATAAGCATCACAGTGCTAAGTTTGTGCCAGTGCCTAAAAAGTCCATTTATGTGAGCAAATTTCTTGTCAATTAGTTAGAGAATTCCTTAAATATCTTTTCATTTACCTTATCTTCTTGCACATTTTCAGGTTAAAAATAAAAAAGAGCAGACTGGATGGAGAATAAACATTCATATATTTGTAGAAAGGTCAATGATTTGAGTTTTTCCAGTCAAGTGTGTCTCTTTTTCAGCTGAAGTTTGAAGTTAACTGCTCTGAACTACTACAGTTTGAACTTTCTGATCAACTTCCTTCGCTGGAGTTTGTCTCTGTGGATGCCCACATACGTGTCTGGTTATTAAAGTCCAAAAAGTGCCCAGAGTTCTGTGTGGCCCCCAGGCATTCTGTGTTGCAGTTCTGGCTACTGGCAAAGCAGGTTCCGTGGTCCTGCTGGCTGCCTCTGCCATGGGGTTGTGCCTGCAGGACTGCACTGCTGAAAACCTGCATGTCCCCCTCCAAATGAACGTCCCCTCTCTCCCTGACTGGTTCCTGGGAGAGATTAACTGAGTGGGACATAGTAAAACTGTGGTTTGGTTTATTTATTTATTTATTTTTGTCCATTAATGAGACAATCCTAACAAACTCCAGTTACAAACCAAGGTCACTTCATAACAGCAAAAAATGCTGATACTTGATATAAGTGCAATATGACTGTGTTTCAACACAAGACCCCTGCCACACATTTTCCCAAATCTTATTGAATTTAGAATGGTCTGTATTACATAGTCAAGAGTTTGGATGTTTTAATGCAATGCTGTGGTAGTTGATTATGTTCTTATTTACTGTTCAGAAATAGGTAAGCTTTTATGTGGGTTTTTTGCAAACAGGTTGTATTTTTTAAACATAAAATTATTTTCCTTTAGGAGTATCAAAAGAGACATCAATCAAACTGGATAATTTTGCTTTGACCATTAAATACTTGTGGCTGTGTGAGGTAAGGTCTCTTGTTCTTTTTATTTTATTTTTTTTCCCTTTTTGGCAAGAACTTAAATAAGTTAAAGCTAACAGTTCCTTCCTATTTATTTCCCAGGGATTAAGAATTCTGTGCAAATTTAATATGTTCCCTAAAGAGCCTAAGTAGTGCTCTAAAATTAATGTAAAGGATTTGAATTTTGGTTTTGTTTAATTTTCTGTTAAAACCACAGCTAGATGTTCATCGAGACACTGCTGATCTGATGGAGACAGATAGATACTATGCTTGTAATAAGGCCCAGGTAAAGCCCATGATGTGCCCTATAGTTTTGGTCCTTGGTTTGTGTCCTGGCAATGTTGAGCCTGCTTGCTGAGGTGGCACCTGGCACAACAGTGCATTTTGATTTATTTGGGAAATTTCAGTGGATGGCCACACCAGGGCCTTTTCTCCTAGGGAGCTGGGAATTGAGACTGGTATTTCTGCCTCTGGGTCAGCCATGTGCATCTCTGGAAAGTGTGATAGGATGGTAAATACACAACTGCTCTGAACTGTAAATGTTGTTTTCATACCCAGTAGGCTTCTTGTTCTGGAAGAAGCATCATTTACAAGAGACCACTCTTGCAGGTTCAGCTTTTAGCTGGATACTTGAATGTCTGAAACAGCTTCGGGTACAAGAGCTCACTTACTGCACCTATGATTGATTTGACCAGCACAAATTTTTAAAATAAAACTTCAGATGGGAAAGGAAATCCATGACAGCAGTGCTCTTGTGGTTTTTAATGCTCTCTTTTTTGTAGGAATTGTGACTGACCATGGGGTAATTTTCCTTGTGTGAACTCTGGAGTAGCTACAATCACTATTTCTATAGGCTCTTCTCACAGAGGTTGTCTTTGAGCACCGGTTTTATTGAGATATTCTGAATTCTTTTTGGAGCTGCCTCTTTTTACCTAATTACACTGTGCTTGTTGTACAGATGCAACTTGATATTAAATGGTGCAAACACTTGTTTAGAGTTGCATCACTCTAGTATATGCTTCCATGAAAACACTAAAGCACTTCACTATTTCCTTGAAGAATTTTTTTTCCCACTCCATGTGTCAGCTGTTGCATATGGAGCAAGGTACACAAAGGTCTTCTCCTATTTCTGTCCTTTACCCCTGGAGTTACATTCACAGTGGGGGAAAAAGGGAGAGAAGATTTCTCCCTCCCTTACACAACCAAGCAAGAGTTATGATAATTTAGCCCTAAGTGTTTAAGCCATGCTCCAGTGCTGCAGAATCTGAGTTTGGCATCATTTGAAGGAGCTTGTTGGAGTGTGAAAGGCAGTGACGTGGATATGATTAAAAAGTATTGAAAAATTATAGACCACACTGCAAGAGGCCTTTATTCAGGTGGATGAGGTCAAGGCAGGTTAATACACAAGGAACATTTTTGTAGCTAATGGCTGTGTACGTCAGGCAAAGGCATATTAAGAGTTGTTTCATCGGGTGTATCCTCTCCTTCACTTTACTGGCCAGACTACAACTGACAGAATAAATTTTGCAGTAATAGAAGTTGATCTCCCTATTCATAATTTTAGAAGGGATTGCTTCTGCTGATACATAACCTGTACTTAGTTCTCTCTATTCTCTGTCTTTGATATAAGTATTTCATTTCTGGCTAGCTGAGAAGATGAACAATAGCAGAGAAGAAAAATTAAAAGTGGGGTATAAGACATAATCCCACAGAAAACACAGATGACTAAAGTTTGAAAGGTATGATAAACTTTAATGGGGTTCCTGCTTTCTTGAGCAACTATTTCCATTTCTTAATTGAGCCTATTAAAAGTGTAGTATGAAGGTTTTACTTTGGGTTCATTTAAAAGTAAAAGCAGTATGTTAGCAAGTGGCAAACTTCCAAGATAACCACACACTTTAGGATGGGATGAATGTCATTTCCAACACTCTGGAACTAAGAATGACCCCAATTTATAGATATTTTTTGATTCTCAATAATATTTTAGTCCCATTTTCATGGCTGCATCCCAGACTATAGATGGAAGCTAAGTATCTGTTTTCTTTTTTTGGCAAACGGTGATGTCCTGATTTTTCCAATCTAAATTGCCCTCCAGGGCACTAATAAAACAAGTCATGGCTCACAAAGTAAATTTCCTGTGTACTAATTGAAAACGGTTTCAAATTTATTAAGGTTTCAATCATCTTCCCAAGATCTTATGCTTGCACTCATGGTCCTCAATCTGACTGTTAATATATTTACCTGAAATGGGAAAGAAGTATTAAAGATACTTCTCAGGTATTTAAAATGAGGTGGGGGTGAAGGGGGAATGAAAATAACAATAACAGAAAACCACACATATCATATTTTTGAATGTGGTTTTAGACAACATCTGAAACTAAGCACTCATTCTCATGAAATATTTGGGTTTATTGTACTTGCCAAAACGTTCCCTATACGTGTTCCCAGACACTGGCTGTAATGCATGATCTACCAGGATTTGTTGCTAGACCTCGTTCTAAGGTGGTAGAAAAGGCAGGAAAGCCACAACACTGGTTTCTTCTTTTTTGCTAGTTTTTCTCTGTCATTGCTGTGCAAACTGCAGGAGACAGAGAGGGAGAAGGGCTGTTGAAATGTCCCAACTTTCTCCCCTTGCAACCACATCACAAAGAAGTGTAAGCGCTATGAAAACCGTCCCACAGCAACCCGCAGGGAGCCTTCTGCCCTGGGCTTCCTCTCTCCAAAATACTGTACTGGGAGGGAAGGCACTTGTCAGATTTTCTGGCACCACATTTCATAGCAGAGCTCCTCTAGCAAGGGAACCACAACCCCTTGTGCAGACTGAATTAATAACATGACAAGAGCATTTGGCCTCCATGTGGATGAGGGCTGGCTGGAAAACTAGAACTCAGGCTTCTGAAAGATTTCAGGGTTTAGAAGTTTGTTTTATTTCCTTCATCATGCTAAATCAAATTGTTTAAAGGGAAAACAGGGTAGGAAAAAAATTCCTCAACCCCTATGGCCTAATTTTCCTAAAAACACTTTTTGGCTTGTGCAAATACTTAAATATTGGAAAATAGACCCGATGACTTGATGGGGATATATAAATGAAATTTCTGTGGGCAACTATCTGTGTCTCAGGGAATGTGGGAGACCATGGCTCAAATCTCATCCATTTTCTTGGTTCATGGTCATCCCTCAAGAAGAGGACAGTGAAGTAAAACCCTGTTTATGAAGTGTCTCCAAGCACGTCACTCTGTGCACTCTACATCCTTGGAGAGATACAGTCTTTCTGATTGTCATGGTGTATTTATACAAAATTATCTTCACTGGACCATGACACACATTAATTCTCTATCCTCATGTTTTGTCTAAGTGAAAATACAGTCAAGGCAAGCGTACTCCTTTGGGATAGTCTGTGATGGATCTATCTGAGAAAAGTTTCAAACACAAATCTCAAATCTATTCATTTTCATTAGAAGCAATAATAAAAAAATGTTCTAGCAAATCATAATTTCTGGATAGGAAATGGACTTTCCTGGAGTAGTCCCATCCACCTGTAATGTAGATGGCCTTTGTTCAGGGTGTGCATTCTGAAAGTTTCATGGAACAGCAGTAAATCCTCCTGAGGTGGGTTCCAGCAGGAACCAGGTGTGTGTTTGTGCCACTGTGCCCACTGTACCTTTCACCCACCCTGCCTTTCCCCTTCCAGAACAAGGAGCATTCAGTCCCCCACCCCTGCTTTGCTTGGCTCCCATTCTAAACACTGTGACTTCCCTCTGCTTACAGAGGTGTGCTCTCTGCATTAATGTCTGATAGCTATTTCATCCAGCCACAGTTTCTCTGTCAAGACTCATGTTCATGGCAGAGACAGCAGAAGAGCAGATGAGCAGCAGTTGCAATGCTATAAACTAATTCCCAGATGTAGAAGAGTCTAGTTGTAATGGCTGTACTGTACATGTGAAAATTAAGTCTAAACATACTGCAGTCCCCATTCACTTGTGAGCCAATTAAAATGTCACTCATGACAGCAGCATAGTAGATACTGTGTTTCTCCTTCTGTTCTCTTGTATGCATATCATCTTGGTATGTTCATGATAATTTATGAGAAAAAAGATAATATAGATATTTCACCATCATATGCATTGGCTATGCTTAGTACAGTACTACACTTAATTCCAAGAACTTTAAGAGACACAAATTGAACTCCAGCAAAAACAATTCTTTTCAAACTGTTCTAAGCAGAAGTTGCACTTTTTCAGTTTTACATATTCATATTTTCCTATAAAGCTGCAGTAGATAATTTATCATTTTACTAATGTTATAATATATAATCCATGTTTTATGCAGATGCATCTTTTTCTTGGCAGACTTGTACTCCATGATCCCAGTCAGAATCATGATGTGATTATGAAATCTGTCAATAGTCAGATAATGTCTAATGAAAAAAATCTTGACATCCATTCTGTAAATTCCTTCAGATATGGGCCTTTTTTTGAAAGTTTTGCAGTCATAGCAAAAATATATTTTGTTCTAGTAGACAGTTTATACTGAGATGATAACATGTCTGATTTTCAGCTTTATTTCTCATCAGTATGAGATAGTAAAATATCTTCAAAGTTAGCATAAATTAGGTCTACTTTTGTACCATTTGCAGTGATGGAAGAGAATAAAGCTAGTTGCTGCTTGGAGATTTTTAATTAAAAAATCCTAATGTTAAAAACTCAGTCCTCTAACACATGCTATTTTACCTTCAGAGAAAGTAGCATTTTCAGTTCTCCTTTGCAAATATTCAGTTTTCTCATTATCTTTCCCATGAGAAAGAGCTGGGAAAGAACATTAATTTAGAGGGCACTGAGGCTGAGGCAAGAAAGGGTCACAGAATCACTGTCCTCCATAGTACCATGCATTGATGAGCAGGGCTGCTGTATTTAGTGACAGGCCTTTATCTTTCAGTGAAGTTTAGCTTTATAAGCAAGCTCGTATTTTCTTTGCCATTAGAAGGGAAGAATTCTTACACCAAAGCCATAGTCACAGTTCCCTAACCTGCAGCTTATTGAAAATGCTGGAAGTTGAAGGTTTCTTTTACACTAAAGAGTCAATGACTTCTGTTTCTGAGATTTCTTCCATTTCAGAGATTTTTGATGATTTAATTTGGTTAGTGAGTGACAAACTCTTGAGAAATCATTTCCTAGAATTAGCAGTCTAAGGCTCCACTGCCTGTGCTCAGAAAAAAAATGATGTGATAATAATATGTAGATGGATAGAAATCATTGTTTTCTCTCTCCCCTTACATATCACACCTTTGCATCATTTTACTAATTTTCAAATGGATAGTGGCAAAATTAACCACATCTTTTCTTTTTGTATTTTTTTTTCCTTTCTTTTTAATTGAGGAGATATTTGTGCAAAGTGAGTTTCTGGACTAATGTGGCTCTGCAGGGAGTAGTTTAGGGGTCCTTTCATCCTGCTGCCATTCCATAAAATGTTGTTTCTCCTTCTTCCAGCTGACATTCACTTTCTACTTTTCTGGTTGTTTAGGTCACATATCTGTGGTGCAATGTTTGGTTTAGGTATGGTATTTGTTATTCCCAGGATTTGGGAAATGGAAGAAGACTAGTGCTAATAGGAAAAGACTTTAATATTTCAGGTCATTGTGCACCATCAGATTCATTAGTGCTTCTCAGAAAACAGTTACAAGTATTTAATGTATTTGAATGGTATCTTTTTACTTCATTATAG